GCTGGTATACACACGGCGTCATGGAATATTTATTACATCGAAAGTTGTACGTTTTTCAGTTTATACACATAACGCTTAAGATTGAAAATCGCACAAGTAACTCTAATTATAATGATACATTAAGAAAAAGAAATGGTTGAACTGAAATTATAGTTATTTTTATATCTCCATATTTCTTTTCGATTATTCTAACGCAAAAATGGTAATATGCATGTAAGGTTATTATTACTAACATTAAGATAGAAATTAATTAAAAAATTTTCCCCGATCATAATTTATAGTAATTATTTTTCTATGCGATTATAATTACAGATACCAAATATTTCTTTTTAGCGTAGGATTGTAGTTTAATAGTTTAGTTTTTTAATTATAATAGTTTCAATCTTATTCAATAAAAAATATTAACAAACGGATATTTCCAATCAAATTCCGATTAAATTTGATATCCGAGTAGGATATCCGATTAAATTGGATACTTTCGATCATAATAACATTTTATCAGATAAACCGATCAAAAAATTATGAATTGATATTTTTCATCTGAAATACTTGTATTTTAATCTGAAATATTTGTTTGTTAATTTTTCATCGGATAATTTCTCTCAGTGTATACGCACAAGACCGGGAATCGTGTAATTCTCGACCCAGGGAATGTTCGGGTATCCGTGACGTCGTGTGCACGAGTGCATAAAGCGCTCAGTAATTTTGGCGGACGAATATCGCGGCTGCAGAATGCGACGTGCGTGCGCGAAATGGCAAGAGTTGCGAAACTAATGCCGGCGTGATAAACTCGGGACCTAATGATAGTCCACGCTCAGGCTCATAAAATTGTTATCACGCCCGCCGATAATCGATCCGATGCGCGCGCGTGCGAATTAATAATACCCGGTGGCGCGGATTCGGGCGCGCGTGATTCCAGCCGATATCTGGATGGCGCCGCTAGGCGTATTTCGTCTTTAAACGGCCTTGCCGCGGCTTCGCGAGCTACGCAGCTTTCTCTACTTTCGCTTACGTGAGATTTTCAGGTTGTCGTTTAGCGCCGTTGTTGCGAGCGTTTCATCGCCGCGCCGCGCCGAATGTCTTTCAGACGAGAGAGAAGAGAAGGAAGTCCGTTCCATCCGTTGTGTACAAAAGATCGAGATCGTGTGCTTCGTGCGGTTAAGCTTCGCCACGTGAATTTTGACTGAAGTACGTTACATTACGAACCACTTGGCGACACGTGTACAATTGGCAATGTCGGTAATTTAACGTGAAGAAAAATTTGAATGATCAACGAAGATAGATTCCTTCGAAAAGATCGGTCGATTCAATCCGGCACATACTCCGGATTCATTTTCGATTTCACCCCATTGTTAATTTCCAATTAATATTTGCGATTATTTCTTTACGTATAATTTTATTTTATAAACTTAAAGACTTTTTCATGCATTCTTTTATAAGCACTTATGGAATTAAAATAAGCGAGGACGAGAACAACCTCAGTGTATCGAATACAGATGTCCGAATGATATGTGGAAATTAACGAATAAAGATTAACGCAATGTTACAATATTATACATATTACAATACGTACACAATGTTAACCCTCTTTCTCCTATTTGTTCTCTTCAGATACATAGTATATACCATATATCTCGCTGTTTATATTGATTATGGGCTACAACTATACTTTACCAACCACGTAACACTCTAACAGGAACAATCATCTTTGACGGGTACCTTTTGCTGTTCAAGGCAGAGATGCCGATAGATTATAGCGCCGTTGAACGTACCATATTTTCTGCGCGCTGCTTTTGTCGTTGCGAAATTTAATCGCGCGCGGTTAATGGAATTTGATCGTGGGTGCACCTCCTCCTCCCATCCCAACTCGCGTGACACCGGCAAATTATCTAACGAAGAGTAAAAGTGTGGATGCTCTCGGGACCGTGGCCGCTCGAGTAGCCGGGGGAAGAGTTAATGCGGCCGCGTTTACGGCCATCGTAAAGTAAAACGCCGTTCGAGAGCGACATTCAGCGAAATTCTCGTTTGACTTGCACTTCCGTCTCAGTGGGTCGGCGATAAAGGCCACGCTGAGCTGATCTCGGGCACGATCATGTAAAAGTAACATAAAAGCGAGCAAAACGCGACTCGACGAAGCGCGACTCGAGTCGCTTATATTGAGTCGTTTAACCTTTTAAATCATAGGACCTTCAAATTTCGGATTCTAATATTCATGTCTAGAATGACAACCTAAGAGATCATTCCTCTTGAAATTAATAGATAGCCTCACAGTGAAATTCACCAAAGGGTTAATTATATTGGAATATGTAAATTATTCACTTAATCCTTTAACGCGCAGTACCTTCATAATTCAGATTCTAATAAGATATTTATGTCACATGTCCAAAATGACGATCCAAGAGACCTTTTTGAAATGAATAGGTGATCTCACGGTGAAACCGCTTCAAAGGGTCAACTTCACGTTTACAAACGGAATCCGTTGCACGTGAATGGAAATCCCTCGAGATCGTCTCCCCGACACGTTGGTCAGGCTCGTCGACGCGTGGTAAGCGACGTTCATATGCGGTCGACGAAAGAAAGGCTGCATCGGAATGCAATCCACCGTCGCCGGTCGGCCGGTTGGTATTTCACGAGGTTAACATTATTTTTCTGCCGTTGCCGCGTTCTCGTCCTTTCTTTTTCCTCGATTCGCCGCGCGACGGCGAACAAACGGAAGCCGGTGTGCACAGAACGGCGTTCTGGGCTTCTTGCGAACGTACGCGAACGGTTTCGCTCAAGCTGAAGACTTTATCGACAGAATGCCGACATTTTTCTTTAAAGTTGTATTGATTGTGCAAATCTAATATTATAGTTGCAAAGTATTATTTCCTATTATTCTAATTTCATATAATGCTCCCATATTAATTCCATATTCTAAGTGGGACATTTTACCGAAAGAATATTCCCATTCTAGCGAAGAGAAATAATTTTACTTAGAATATTTCCCTTTTGGTTTTAGAAGAATTCTCTTGAGGCTATTTATAATAGGATTCCGCTAAGGATGAGATTATATATTTTTTTCGGTAAATCTCATTTCACCGTCTTTTCAATTATCATTGGAACGAATTATTGATGAATTATAGAAAAGCAGCTGCGAGCCCTCAATTTCGCCGTAATACCTCTAATGTACTTGCCGATTATGAAAGAGAAATCAATCGCGGTGGTGAGTAACGGGAGAAAAGGGAAGTATGATTTACCGCGTTGTTAAAATCGTTTAATAATATAGTTCGAGGCGTTACAGACGTCATTAGCCACGGTGAAATTGCGATAAATCGTTTTTGTATCGTGGTGCACATTAATTTCCTTGTTACTACGGCGGCGTAGAACGCTCCCGCGTGAAGCTTTCAAAGCGCGCGCCCGTTCCGAGTTAACCAGAATTAATGTGCCTCATTAAAAAATCTCGCGATACGAACACGTTGCAGAGAGAAGGTGTTCAACGCAGCAGCAGCCGCCGCCGCCGCCGTCGCCGCAACCGCCGCCGCGAACGCCTTATACAGCACCGGAGAAAAATCTCGTTCATGAATCGCAATCGCGCTCCTCGCCTCTCTCAGAAGAATGCGAGCCGACGTTTTCTCGACTGTCGTCCTCCTGCATCTGGTGCTGGTCGTTGCGAGTCCTCCGGCACAATCGGCAAATGACAATCGCGCACAATCAGGCTGCCTGCCTACGTGCACGCATTTACGCTGAAGAGAAAAGGTTTGTTAATAACCAAATCTAGATAATAGTTTACTAGCTTTAGATAATAGTTATTAGTCGAGTAGTTTCGACTAAACGTGATACAAGGGAACATAATCTGTACAGCACAAATATATCCTAGATATATCCTAGATACGTCCTAGGGATGTGTGATATCTCTAAGTCATTTCTAGGATGTATCTGTTACTAAGACTTGGTGACTATTCCCAATTTATGCGATATGTATCAGCAATCAGTTTGTAAAATAAAACCATATTGTTTGGTGATACTTTTACATGATTATGTAACAAATATATACTGAAAAAAATATTTGAAAATTCATTTGTGGGATATAAGGTTTATAGGATTAAGAGGTTTTCTGTGATATGAGATTAAGATTTTTTGTGAAACAAAGCTTATTTCTATGTAGCAAAATTTATTTCCGTGAATAACTTGAATAACGCGAAATTTGATATCCCACAAATAAATTTTCAAATATTTTTTCTCAGTGTACGAAATGACTAAATACTTTGGTAATGGTTAAACTATTTAGTAACCATTATCAAATTATTCGGTATTATTTTGTAATTATTATCACGGACGGTAACTATTGTCATATTTAATGTTAATTACCAAATACACGCTGAAACGCTCAACTAAACCATGCATTCGTTAACAAAAGACTTTGTTTTCAGTGCATACGTACGTGAGCACGAGGACCAATTTATATCACGACGGAAAGTTCATTCCGGTTTCGTAATTGCTCTGAAAATCTCGCTCGCGTGTCTCGGCTGTGCCACCCCGTCGCGCGGCCTTGATCCGAATACGATTCGCGATACCGTGGCCATCGATGACGCGACGAATTCGGCACAACCAAATCCTCCCACGTTCCTCGAGAAAACGCTCAAGAAAGTCGCTCGACTAGGGGGGATCGCTTGAAATTGTCCTCACTTTTCGATCGCGTCTCTATTGTCACGGTATTCTGGGGTATTTTACTGTCGTCGGAATAGATAATTTCTAATGATTTTTAACATAACAGCGTGAGATCAAAGAAAGTCGCTCCATTCACTGTTGGCATCTCCGAATCCCGCTGAACGAATAAATCTCTGTCCCGCACTTTCATTCGCTCTTCTACGTCCTAGAAACGAATTTTCCTTCCAGAATGGCGGTCAAGTTTGTGGGGTCTAATCGTGCCCCACTTTCCATCCCATTAGCGAGCGGCCTAGTGAATAAGACGGCGTGAGTGAGCGCGAGAAGGGTGGGAAAGAAAGAAAGAAAGATGCACCTTTGTGTGTGTAAGATTTCTCTGAATCTTTTATTCAAAGGTTCGTCGAAAACGCTGTATTGGCAATATCGCTTACTTTTACAAATATACATATACAATATTTCGTTTTTATTTATATATATAAATTTATATATATTTATATATAAGAGTCGGTGGACCCTTAAAAAAAATAAGGGCACGCCTTAAATCAGGGAACAATTAATTTGGCGGTCTTCGTGGATTGCTTCTGGGACGGGAGGAAAGCGCACTAGCCGATTGAGATCGGCATCGGTCGTGTGGCTCTCGACGGGGAATCCGAGGTGCAAGAGCGAGGGAGACACGGTTATATTACACGTGGAATCCCACACTCGCGGATCGCCAGCCGCCATCGAGGGATCCGCGATTTCTCCTCGTGGGTCCGGGTGGGGCGCGACATTTTGCTTCATTTTGCTTCGCATTTGCCGACTCGAGTGGAATGCGCGGCTCTCGTTGTCATCGTCACCGTTGTCGTCATCGTCGTCGTCGTCGTCGTCGTCGTCGTCGTCGTCGTCGTCGTTGTCGTTGTCGTCGTCGTCGTCGTCGTCGTCGTCGTCGTCATGGTCGATCAACGCGGCCGTCTCGTTGCCGCCTCGAGGACTTGGAGGATGCGCCCTCGGGTGTCTATCACAGATTGCTGATATCTGATGAACGTGAATTTTTAAACTAGCGGACGAACTAACGACGAGACACGCGCGGAGAAAAGTTACGATTTCCGTGAGTTCTCAAGAATGACTCGGTGTTTGCCGCGCGAATTTTGCCAAATTCTTTAACCTCTCGCGGTGAAGGAAGACGTCTACAATGAGGAAACATCTGCGAATGCGTGAAGCGGATAAAAGGCTTCGCTACGTTCGACCTTAGCCCATCAGACTCTGCGGTCTCCTAACTGAACAAACTAATCATCACAGATACGTCGTTCTCAACGATAAAACAGCAAAATATTGGCAACTAGAATGGTCACCGGAGTCTAACGGACTAACGACGACTTTGCCCCCTCTCTTCTCCCGTGTGCCTCGTCGCCGTAATCACCGTTGCTCTCGAAGGCCTCGAGGATGCTCGGCTGATGCGTCAGTCGACGATATCTGGCGATATGTTGGACCGCGAAGACTCGCGCGACGGGTCCTCGACCGACGCCATTGGGTCCGGTCGAGGTCTGATGAAGGAGAGGATCGGGAGGGTCGGAGAGAAAGGAGAAGGAGGGACTTGACTTAGACGAGAAGGAGGATCGGCAACTTAGAAGAAGCCGTCACCGGTCGGGTCGTTCACCCAAGGGTAATTGTTGGGACAACGCACGCAAGTCTGGAGATTGATGGTCTCTCCGGGTACCTCCTTCGAGGTCAGTTTGCAAGTGTGAGGCACCCAGCAGGCTGGCGGACCCTCCACTGAGCACTTCTCCCGCCACGGTTCAAAGTTCTTCGATTCGGTGATAGTGCGCGGATTCTGGATCCATTGGATCACTTGAGTCATCGTCACGAAGTAGACGTCATTGTGGTTCTGCAAGATCTCGTCGATCCAATATAGGAAGGCGTCCAAGAACTCGGGATTATTCTTCAGCCAAGCGGCATGGAAGTAGAGACCGAGGGGTGCGCGGTTCTGCTCGTAGTGGCGGTCGAAGTTGTGGTTGAGGAAATTGTAGAACTGGTCACCGGTCAGAATGTTGCTGCAGGAGTCCACCATGGCGCATCCTGGCAAGTACTCGTCGTTCTGAGGATCCTCGCGTCGGTCCAACTCGTTCATCACCATTTCCCAAACAGCGTGCGACCTGTATAAGACATTCATTTGAATATTTTGTCGTTTAAAATCGTTTGTTGTTCTTAAACAATCAAGATCGATATTCACCTGGTAGGACAATGCTGAAGATTTCCGTGACAACGGTGTGGCATCCTGAAGTACATAGTGTACGGCCAGAGCGGAGGATTATTCAAGGCCGCGGTAATGGTGGAGTCATAGAGGAAAGCCTGCTCCTCCATCATAGTGAACTGATTGTTACCGCCGACCCGCAAGTACGGCGCTCTCACACCCACCACGCTGTTGTCCGTCAGATTGGCGAACTTTTCGGCGATGATCCTCATGCCGGCCATCTCTTTCGCCCAGTCGTCGACGGTCGCATCCGACCAGAAGCGCTCGTCGTCGTTATGCCTTACCCCAAAGTTGTCATGGTAAAGATTATGTAGTGACGTAGCTCTAATCTTATTAATCATGACTATGGCAGCGAGCGACATGACGTGACGCACGCCAGGAACCTGTACTCTTGTATCTATTTTCCTGGGACTTTGTGCTCAGGAGAAACTAAGTAATGTAGCGCGCAGACTTGTCAATTTCATCGAGAGAGAGAGAGAGAGAGAGAGAGAGAGAGAGAGAGAGAGAGAGAGA